AATTTAAATTTGGCCACTTTATATAAATTAAAATTTAAATTTGGCCACTTTATATATATTAAAATTTTAAATTTGGCTACTTTATATATAAATATTAGCTAAAATTTCAAATTGGCCTCTTTATATATATAAAAAATAAAATTTGAATTTGGCCGCTAAAATTTTTATTGGTTGGAACTAGGTTGTCCACACTGTAGTAAAATTCCCAATAATGTTTCTAATGACGTTTTTAATAATACATCTAATAATGTTTCTAATAATGTTTCTAATAATGTTCCAATTCAAAAATGAATTGAAAAAATGGATGAAAACTATAAAAAATCAAAGGTAATTATCTTTTTATTGCAAGATGATACATTATTGACAATTAAAAATAGATGTTAACTAATTCAAAGTTGCGCTATTTTTTTATAGTTTTCAGTTATTGTTAATTATAGTCCCCAATACATAAATATTGAGTGCCAGCAATCAGCTACACTTGCATATATTAAGCTCATTGCTGAAACTCAATTTTTTCTCATTTTCATTAAAAAAATACAATACAAAAATATTAAGGGCACTGTGATCAATATTCATAGTGAAAATTATTGGAATGTTGCAAAATGGGAAATGAATAGGGAAAATAATGATAGGATTGAAGTTTATATTCAATCCTGAATGTGGATAATTAATACGGTAACGTTAACTGAAAAAAAAAATGAAAAGTTGAAAATATTTCAATTTTCATATTTAAAAATTATCTTTTTAAAGAATATTACTTATATGTAAAACCATCATCATTATTCAATAAAGCTATACAAAATGCAAAATCAATTAATTGGGTTTCACCTGGCCGGGTCGAAATTTGAGAGCTTCAAAAAAATTTTTTTATATGTTTTACAGCTGTTCTCATAAATTTTGGGACATCTAGTAAAAAATTGACCGAATATATCTGATTTGCTATTTGGTTTAAATTAGCTTATATTAAATAAATAAATAAATAAAATACTTTTATAGTTTTATTATGATTTTATTGTTTATAATTCAAAGCAGTTTCAACAAAAATTGAAAACTTAGTTGCTTGGAATTATAATTTGAGTTATATTTCTTTAGTTCGATCAATAAATTCTTGTTAATAGGGGGTTTCAAAGTTAACGAATAAGTGGCGCATTTTGAAATTAAATGGAAGTGTTTGGAGATTCCCATTTCATGAAATCGGAAAATTTTTATAATAGGGGGTTTCAAAGTTAACAAATAAGTGACGCATTTCGAAAATAAATATGATTTTTTCAATAGTATTTTTACTA